CAACTGGAGTGTTGTTCGAATTTGTTCTTCCTTGTCCCTCTTTTCTAACGGAGTGTTTTCAACTTCGTTCATCTCCGTTGTATTCTTTTTTCGAAATGGCTTAACCTCTCAAGGTTCTTTGGTTTCTCTCGTTTGTCAAAGAAGCAACTTAGTTTTACCTCTTCTCTTTCTCTTCCGTTTTCTCTCCGGTGCCATTCTAGATCTCGGGACGAGATCCTCTCGTAGTGGTGGAGTGTTGTGACGCCCCGAGACCGATGTGCCAGGTGTCCTCCAGTTATTCGCTGTTGTTGCATTGTCATTGCTTACATGTCATGCATCTCATATCATGTCATCATGTGCATTTCATTTGCATACATGTTCGTCTCATGCATCCGAGCATTTTCCCCGCTGTCCGTTTTGCAATCCGACGCTCCTATGTCATCCGATGTCCCTTTCTACCTCTTTTCGTGTGTGGGTGTTAAACGTGTTCGGATTGGACCGAGACTTGTCATGCGGTCTTGGGTTACTACCGGTAGACCGCCTGTCAAGTTTCGTATCATTTGGACTTCGTTTGATACTCCAACAGTTAACCGAGGGACCGAAAAGGCCTCGTGTGTGTTGCAGCCCAACACCCCTCCAAAGTGGCCCAAAACCCACTTAAACCTCCTCCATCATCTCGATCGTTCGATCACGACCGCGTGGCGAAAACCGCACCTCATTTGGACTCTCCTAGCTCCCTCTACCTATTTAAACACCCCCCTCCGAAATTCGCGCAGATGAAACCCTAAAAACTCCTCCCCTGCGCCGCCGCTTCGCGCCTCGCCGCCGGCCACCGTTGCGCGTCTGCCCCGCTGCCTTGGGCACCCTGCGCCGCCGTCGATCTCCGCCGACACCGCGCCGGATGCCCGCGCGCCGCCCAGTGCCGCCGACCGCCACCCGTCTCCTCGCAGCGCCGCCATGCGCCGGCCACCGCGCCGTCTCGCCGGCGTCGCCCCGCCGCCTCGGCCGCCGTGCGTCGCCTCCACAGCCTGCCGCCTTCGCCGTTGCTCCGGCGAGCCCGCGCCACCAACCCACGACGGGGCCGCGCTGACCGGATCCGTCCGCCCACGTCGACGACCGCGCTGGTAACGCCCTCCTCCGGCCGGATCCGCCCCGAAACTCCCTCGCCGGCGACCTCCCTCTTCGTCTCCGGCAACCGCGAGGTCTTCTCCGGCGATCCTCGTTCACCGCGCCCAGATCTGGAAAAAAACCAGAGGATGACTTTCTTTCCCCTCGAGATCTGCAAAGTCCCCAGATCTCAGAATTTTTATGCATTTTCCGTCGCTCATAACTCATCATCCGTGGCTCCGATTCATGCGTGTAGCATATCAAAATGTTCGTCTCGACGAGTACATCATTTCATCTCATTGTGTCATTTTCATTTGAGCTCATCTTAACGCCCGATATGCTGTTGGAAGAGGGCTATATGGATAATTTGTCAGATCTGTTTCAGCAAATAGTTATTTGTCATTTTTGCCATGATTAATGTGTGCATGCTATGATCCTGAGCTCTACATGTGTTTTGTTATATGCCATTTCATCTTTACAGAGGTGCTTGCCATGTATTTTTTGTGATATTTGTGGTGACTAGCATAAGCTTGCAAAGTAGCGTAATCGGTAATGCTGATTTCAGGGACTTAGAATTTCACTAAGTCCTTGTCCTGATTTTGTTGTTATGTCATATGTTCATGTTGTTTCCTAGTAATCCGTGCCTCTTTTGAGGATGATCAGTAAGATGTTTTGTTAACATTGTGGTGCTCTATCCATTCATGTCTTTGTTTGTATTTATGTAGCAACCTAGCTTGAGCCAATCGAGCTCTACTTTTGCTATAAAATGTTCCGAGCAGATTGTTGACATGTTTAGCGATTTTGCCGAGGATGTTGCTATTGATCCGGGCATGCTATGATAATGTTCTTGCCATATCTAGCTTCTATGCTATGTCTTCTTAATGGGTGTATGCTTAGTTTGTCATGTCATGCTCTTTAGTGAGTGCATCGAGCTCGTAAACATGCCTACTCGTTAACTGTTTTGCATGCTCCAGTTTTTCACTAAGTCTGAATCTGTTTGTGTTTTTGCTATGTTCACATGCTTGCAATTGTATTTTCTGATCCCTTTTGGCTCAAGGTCACTAAGGGACTTTTGTTACGTGCTTTGAGTAGCTTCATGCCATGCCTTACTTTTCCATGTTAAGTTCCTGTAGCATGTAGTTTTCTTGCTCTAAAGATTGCTTCCTGATGATAAATTCCAGACTTGTGTTAATTTCACTAAGTCTGAAACCTGTTATCATTTGCACTTTTGCCATGCTTGTTTGAACCTGTTAATGGATGAATTAGCCGTAGCTCAGTGTTCATCTTTTGTCAAGCATCATGAGTGGATTCCTGCCATGTATTTTGTTGCCATGTTTGAGTGCAGTAGCATATTTATCTTGATCCATTTAAATGGCTACTTGCTGTTAATCGCAGACCGGTGCCATATTTGTTTTGCTTGTCATTTTCAAACCGTGCATCCGATTCCGGTGATCTTTATATCGATTTCAACCGAAATCAACTCACTTTTTCAGAGGCACTCTTGGATTTCCAAGTTGAGGCCAGGTTCAATCATTCATTTCCAAATCATGCATATGCATCACATACCGCATCCCGCATATCATACCATGTTCATGTGTTGGTTGTTTACTATGTTGTGTGCTTCTTTCCGGTGTTGCTTCTTCGGGTTGGTTCCGTTAACGTCGCGTTTGTGAGGACCCGTTCGACTACGTCTGTTTGTCTTCTTCATGGACTCGTTCTTCTTCCGATGGGCTAAGTTGGGACACCCCTGCAGGGCTTTGAATTTTGGAAAACCGTGCCCGCGGTTATGGGTAGATGGGAATTTGTTAATGTCCGATTGTAGAAAACCTGAAGTTGATCTTAATTAAAATACATCAACCGCGTGTGTAACCGTGATGGTCTCTTCTCGGCGGAGTCCGGAAAGTGAACACGGTGTTGGAGTAATGATTGACGTAGGTTGTTCTAGGATCACTTCTTGATCATAGTTGTTCGATTGTGCTTTGCCTTCTCTTCTCGCTCTCATTAGCGTATGTTAGCCACCATATATGCTAGCCGCTTGCTGCAGCTCCACCTCATACCATTACCTTACCCATAAGCTTAAATAGTCTTGATCGCGAGGGTGTGAGATTGCTGAGTTCCCGTGACTCACATATACTTCCAAAAACCAGCTTGCAGGTGCCGATGAAACCGTACAGATGACGCAACCAAGCTCAAGGAGGAGCTCGATGAGATCTCGTTCTTTATGTTGTTCCGTTTCCAGTTGATCAGTAGTGGAGCCCAATTGGGGTCGATCGGGGATCTGTGTAGCATTTGGGGTAGTCTTCTTTTATTTTGATTCCGTAGTCGGACCTTGTTTGTATCTGGATGATGTAATTCTTTATTCATGTATTGTGTGAAGTGGCGATTGTAAGCCAACTATGTATCTTTCTCCCTTATGTATTACATGGATTGTTGTGAAGATTACCTCACTTACGATATTGCTTTCAATGCGGTTATGCCTCTAAGTCGTGCTTCGACACGTGGGAGATATAGCCGCATCGAGGGCGTTACACATCTCCATTGCATGGTGAGCTTCCCTGTCTCCTCCCTTTAAATTTGGAGTACTGCTTGGGTACAGATTAGAAGTAGGGTTCAGTTTTTTTGTATGAGTATGGGTAGAGATTATGAGTAGGAGATGTAGTCGTAGGCACATTTTTAGTAAAATTTCAGTAACTTCAATTATCCTGCTTGAAGTACTTTGAAAATATACTCAAAAAAGGTACTGCTTGTACTGCTGATCTTGCATATAGGGGGAGAGTTCTTATACTCAGAGCAGCTGTTGATCTGCAGCAACTCTAGAAGTAGGATTTAGGATAATCATAGTTTCAGTTTGCCAAGCAGGGAGTATAATTTAACTGGAAATCAACCAACTATTGCTTTGAACTGGATTATAATTACCGAAGCGGGTCGAAGTGGGACGATGTGGTTCGGTGGTCAACTGCGGCTGCGCAGGATGCAGTATGGTATGGCTTGAGCATCTCGAGGAGGGGCTCTCTCCGCAAGGCATCCTCTACGCCAGTACGTTCTCTGATCCGAACCTTCTTCTCTTCGCTCATGCACGCACCAACGCAGCTGACCTGTCGTTGACCAGCGGCGGAGGTGTTCGAGTAGTCTGTCTCGGGGCTGCACGTGGAGCACGTCGACATCTCCGTCTTGCCATTGCTCAGCACCGCCCTGCCGGCTGGGGTTCTTATTTTCCATCGAGGCCTTCCGCAACTGGGACCATGGTGACTGATAGCTTCCTCTCCGGCTGGATCGACAGTCTATCCACCCAGTAAATTTTTGCTCTTCTCTTAAATTTTCTATGTTTCTTTGTCTGATTCTCAATAAAGAGCTCAAACTCGAGATGAGTTTTTGGTGACCTGGCCTATTTTGTTGATCTGCCGCTGGTTAACATGTTCAAGAACAAGAGGGTCCTCATGGAGAGTATCCACAAGTCCGAGGCTGAGAAGGCAAGAGAGAAGACCCTCTCTGACCAGTTTGATGCTTCAGTTTGAGGCCAAGCGTGCTAAGAGCAAGGCTAGCTAGCAGGGAGAGGAATATTGTGAGGAGGCAGGAGAGATTGGCTCAGGGAAGATGACTTTCACTTGAGCCCTGTCTATTTCCTCACATAGTTTGATTTGTCCTGCATTATATTGGTACTGAAATACATAATGCGTGCACATGTCTTCTGTTGGATGTTTCAGAGATGCTTATGCAGGGTTTCTTTAATCATTTTGGTTCATGGTACCAGCTAATGAAATTTACGTGCTCTGATGATGAATTCGTGCCATGTCGAGTTGGACTGGCGGTGGCGTATTTTTCCTCTTGTAGTCAAATTAGTGAGATGCTCCGTTCTCTTCTTTATGTGAACGTACATGTATGACCAGTGTAATTAGGTGCAGTAGTTTTGGTCAATGTCAAAGCAGAAGAGAGCTACATGTATGACCAGTATTGAATCACGGCGAGAGAGTAATGTAGCTTCGTCCCTCCCTGATGCTGCTAATGCAAGATGCATAGGAATCTTATTCAATATCAAAAATTGACATACCGTGCAATCATGTCTAATGTCTTTCATTAAATCTCCGCGGAGGTGCCGGCCGGCCGGTACATATGTTAGTGCATCATCTATCTCAGACTCTCAGTCACAGCTATCTAATTGGTGTATATTCATCTCCAATTACAGCCTCATAATTTTTTGGACATTCATTTACAGCCCGATCTACTTGGATGTGCAGACCTGGGAGTTGGAACAATTCACCAAGAGAAGCCAGTTCGTGTATAACAGAATGGGTGAGGAGTAAAGGCGTGTCATATTCCATATTTTCATTCAGATTTCAGAGAACGCGACAGTAATTTTTGATATTTTACTCTATAGGTGGAATTTATCATGAGATCCTACCCAAATCCGAGTACTTTTCCAAGGCACTGTACACCTTCCATTTCGCCCAAAACAATCTCTCTGTGGGCTACTTCACCAATAAGACTACCAAACAGATTGAGGCCTATGACCCCGATCCGAAGGAGCGGTTCACTGTGGCAATGCAGGTACAATTCAAGCTAATTTGCTGACAATCTCGCTCACAACCAAGGAAAATTTAGTTCTTGACACAATTAACATTACATGATCTGTGCTGGCTATAGTTTATTACTGCTTGCTTCGAAGTCTTGGTTCATGGAAAGAATTTATAATTTTATCTCTGTCCAGTCATGTGTCTAATTTCCTGAAAGTTGTTAGTCTTTCGGATGCATTTATTTTCCTAGATGCCCCGAGAAGAGGTAGTAGTGGTGGTGCGGGCGCGCCGTGGGCGAGGTGGGCTCCGGGTGTAGCGGCGGGGGCGGCTGCCCCATCGATGGCAGCGCGATGCCCCCCGCCGTCGGGCCCACGCCACCGGACATTGGCGGTGACCGGAGACTGTCGCGGCGATTGTTGGTCGGTTGAGGAGCTTGCAACACGAGCTGGTAGCGCCAGCGTTGGCGAGAGAGTGAGGTGTCCCCAGTGCAGTAGGCGGGGGAAAGCTTAAGGCGACCGGTGCCCTCCGGTCCTCATCGCTGCACGTCGAGGTCAAGTCTGAGGCTGCGAGCTGATGCATCCACAAACATCATCGTCGACTGCATCTTCAACCTCCGGACGCCGCTTCCGTACACTGCTTCATCAACCTCAGCCGTGACCCTTCCTCCCGGTCGCCGTGTTTAATATCCTACTCGTCTGCCGCCTATCTCGAGCACCGCGAGCGAAGGTGGATGCCCTGACTGCCGATCACCAAGGTGAGCTCCAATTTTTGTTGATGTGCAGTTTGTTTGTCGGACGCCACCTAAGCTGTGAAGTTCTACACAATATGAACTGTTTGTTGTGAGCTCTGTAGTGTTGTGTCCTTTAAAAGTGGGCATGTTAGGCTTGTTGTAGAAAGTGCTATGCTTGTTGCTAGCGATTGATTGCTAGATGTGCTATGATTGTTATAGACAGTGGGAATGGTAACTACTGACGAATTTTGATTCAATTGGTTAGTTACTATAAGCAAGAACACGCTATAAGCGCCAAAATGCTAGAGAGAAAAGTTCAAGAGCCAAGAACACAACAGGGTCGTTGACTTGGTAAGCCTCTTTGATGTAATAAATTGGTGTTGGTGGGTCCATGTGGCTGGAGAACCCTTTTTCTCCAAAACGTCGGCACTGCCGTGCTCATCGTACACGCCGACATGGTGGTGCTCAACTTATGGGAGTAGCCCACGCAACCACCGCCTCTTGGAACATCTAAATAATCACATTTTGCTGATATTTTTCTTCTGATTGATGATTGATTCAATTTGCACGGAGCAATTATGGAGGAAATAGTACAAGCTAACTCTAAATCATTTCTGAGCTGGTCAACCATGTAATTAGAAAGCACAAATAAGCTACCAAAATGATATAGCTTGGTAGAGAAGTTTGGAATATTAACCTCCTGGTTTAGTTACCCAGGCAATGGAGATCCCACACAATTTTTTGAACTCCCATGCAAATTATTATGACAAGTTGCTTGGTATCTGACAATCTGCTTGTCCTTCTGCTATGCATTTTCAGAAACTCCGCGGAAAGCTGCTGCAGATAGGTGTTGTGCTGGTATATTCTTTCTGTAGCCTTTGTTCAGGTAAATCAGACCAAGACTCGGAGACTATAGATAGCCACTCTTTTTTTACCAACCTTTGTTTTTGTTAATAATGAGTTTGACAATGAAGTGACTACATCTCCATCTTTTCACCTTTGTTTCTACTGAGCTTCTCAAAGGTCCATTCCTGTAATATTTTGGAGGACATCTCCCATTACAATCGTTGGGGGTTTTCAATTTATGAGTAAAGTACACGAAGCTCCCTTACAAACCCGACAAATCGTACTTCGGAATCATTGCATTTTTCTTCATCGGCTTCATCACATCAAACACGTAAGCAAAAGGCAATATATATACTACTGGACCCTGAAGCCCCAAATCATCTTCTGTTTTCTATGTACTCCCATGATTATTTAGCAAATGCCAAAAATAGTGTTTCTTTCATGCGTACATCGTTTCGTTTGGAGTTTTGCCCACTTGATCTGAATATGAGGAAGGACAAATATCTTGTAGCAGATCAGATTCAGGTCATGTCATGATTCCTTAAGGGCCTCATTACTGGTGGTGTTTCTTTCTTCCATGGTGATTCCTATTGTTCATAGTTGTACTAGCAGGATTATCATAACAACTAAGCAAATGCCAAGCTGGAAATTTGAAGATAAAAAATTGAGGCGTGTGATCAGGTGTCAATACTTAAAGAAAGAGCCTTTAGTTTTTCTTAATCAGAATGCAGAAATTTAAGCATGTAGATCTTTGATGAAAACATAATTAAGATATTGCTGACGTAATCTCATGTTACCTTTGTATTATGTTAGCCTACTAATTTACTATATCCAGGTCATAATATTGTTGCTATTTTCATGAACTACGTAATGGTTAATGACACAACTCGATGAACTAAGTATTGAGAGCATGGGCTGTTGCGGTGGACCGGTGGTAACGCAAGCTCAGAGGGTTTTGCCACTGTGATCATGTTGGTCGTGCTAGCACTGACAACGTATAATATACAATATACTGCTGGGAGCAGTGACACTTATTCTACTTCCTTAACAGCGGGCAAATTGGTAATTTTTGGTCGATATAGCAAGTTTGAGAAGACCCAATTTTGTTATACTATGTAAGTTGATACACTTTTTATATGTTCGATTGGTGATATTGGAAATAGCTAAGCTTACTGGTGTGATCCATCTAAGAAAATCTCACACAATGACATAAACCTATATCTAGAATGATACGAGGACTGTGAAATAGAAAGGATGTGATGCTACTATGTTCTGGTGGATTGTAAGATGGCATTTGAGGATTTACTAAGTATTTAATGATTGGAAACATTACTCTTGGTATGTTTATAGGCGAGGCTGCTGGCGCCTTGCATGGATTTCTTTCTTCTTTCTTTCCAGTTCCCTGTAACTGTTTTCTTCTACCGCTTCATCAATGAAAATCAGCAATCTGCTGCTTTTTCATCAAGAAAAACTCTTGATATGTTTTATTTTCCAGGTCTTGCATACTGTTGTCGGTAATATGTTAGCAAAAGTTCAATGATATTTGTTTAAAGCGAGAATTCTTCACCGTGTTTTAACTTTTACATGCCCTAAAGATAGAAACATCTAATCTTATTTTTTTCGATAAAGGGCGATTTTATTATCTCAAATGTAGCATCAAGCGGATACAAAGCATTATGAGAACACCCGGCCTCTGCATAACTAGGATGCACACGGTCCAATATGAAGGTCTGACAAAAATTGATGAAAAAAAATTTGACAAATCGGCAACAGTAGAGCCCTATAGACCGACACTATGCCTATGTCGATGGAGGTGGTGGATCGATCCGAAGGTTATGTTGCCACCCATGTTGGGAAAAAACCTCCATAGCCACCTGCTCCAATCGCATACACACCTCCTTGAACAGCGGTTGGTCCTCCGGTCGTTGTAACATAGACCACATACGTAGCAATTGCGTACACCGGAAAATAACCTGTGGAGGAGAAGCATTTTTTCTGTTAAAAACAAAATCATTTCTACATAGCCAAAGCGACCAAATTAAGGCATACGCTCCCACCCTTATTAGCGTTTTGAACCTATTTGAAATACCGTCCAACCAATGACCAAAAATATTGGCAACAGTTGTGGGCGGATACAAATTTGACGCTATTTGGATGACTGACCACGTAGAACGTGCAAACTTGCATTGGAAAAGGAGGTGTTTGATTGTCTCGTCATGAGTACAAAAACAACACTTCTTACTCCCTTGCCAGTTGCGTCGTGCGAGATTGTCTTTGGTTAACACAACCCCCCTACGAAGATACCACATGAAAATTTTCACTTTTAGTGGAATCTTGGACTTCCAAATTTTCTTGTTATTACTCACTGGTACCTCAGAATGTGTGAGCGCACGATACATAGAGTCTACAGTGAAAGACCCTGATGTAGTACGGTTCCAGCGAAACACATCCCGCCCTTGTGTCAGGTTAATCGAATCCAGTCGGGATAAAAGATTATGCCATGACACAAGTCGGGGGCCAATCAAATCCCGCCTGAACGAAATATTCGGCGGGAATGAACTGAGCACTTGCACAATAGTATTATTCTTATCGCGAACAATGTTGTATAAGCCTGGATATTGTTCTCGGAGACTGGCATTGCCTAGCCAGATGTCTTCCCAAAAACGAATCTCCGACCCATTCTTTATCGCGAAAGAAACATCTAATCTTATGAATTTGAATTTGCGCTTCAAGAAAACTTGAATTGACTTGTCCACGACGATTATTTCCATGTACATCAGTTCAAGGCAGGGGGTTGGCGGTGTGACGCCCCCGATTTAATCGTACACTAATCATGCACGCAAATGTGTACGATCAAGATCAGGGACTCACGGGAAGATATCACAACACAACTCTACAAATAAAATAAGTCATACAAGCATCATAATACAAGCCAGGGGCCTCGAGGGCTCGAATACAAGTGCTCGATCATAGACGAGTTAGCGGAAGCAACAATATCTGAGTACAGACATAAGTTAAACAAGTTTGCCTTAAGAAGGCTAGCACAAACTGGGAAACAGATCGAAAGAGGCGCAGGCCTCCTGCCTGGGATCCTCCTAAACTACTCCTCGACGTCGTCAGCGGCCTGCACGTAGTAGTAGGCACCTCCGGGGTAGTAGACGTCGTCGACGGTGGCGTCTGGCTCCTGGACTCCAGCATCTGGTTGCGACAACCAGAAAGAAAGGAAAGGGGAAAAGGGGGGAAGAAAGCAACCGTGAGTACTCATCCAAAATACTCAAGCAAGGAACTACACTACATATGCATGGGTATATGTGTAAAGGGCCATATCAGTGGACTGAACTGCAGAATGCCAGAATAAGAGGGGGATAGCTAGTCTTATCGAAGACTACGCTTCTGGCAGCCTCCGTCTTGCATCAAGTATAAGAGAGTAGATTAAAGTCCTCCAAGTAGCATCTCCAAGTAGCATCTCCAAGTAGCATCTCGAGTAGCATAATCCTACCCGGCGATCCTCTCCTCGTCGCCCTGCGGAAAAGCGATCACCGGGTTGTCTGTGGAACTTGGAAGGGTGTGTTTTATTAAGTATCCGGTTCTAGTTGTCATAAGGTCAAGGTACAACTCCAAGTCGTCCTGTTACCGAAGATCACGGCTATTCGAATAGATTAACTTCCCTGCAGGGGTGCACCACATAGCCCAACACGCTTGATCCCATTTGGCCGGACACACTTTCCTGAGTCATGCCCGGCCGCGGAAGATCAACACGTCGCAGCCCCACCTAGGCAAAACAGAGAGGCCAGCACGCCGGTCTAAACCTAAGCGCGCAGGGGTCTGGGCCCATCGCCCTGAGCACACCTGCACGTTGCGTGGGCGGCCGAAAGCAGACCTAGCCTAGTGGCGTTCCAGTCCAATTCGGCGCGCGCCGCTCCGTCGCTGACGTCTGAAGTGCTTCGGCTGATACCACGACGTCGGGATACCCATAACTACTCCCACGTAGATGGTTAGTGCGTATAGGCTCGTAGCCAGACTCAGATCAAATACCAAGATCTCGTTAAGCGTGTTAAGTATCCGCGAACGTCAAACAGGGCCAGGCCCACCCGTCTCCTAGGTGGTCTCAACCTGCCCTGTCGCTCTGCCACAAAGTAACAGTCGAGGGCCGTCGGGAACCCAGGCCCACCTCTACCGGGATGGAGCCACCTGTCCTTTCAGCCCCCTCGTCAGAATCACTTGCGGGTACTCAATGAGCTGACCCGACTTTAGTCACCATCTGTATAGTATGTATGTATGTATATATATACCCGTGATCACCTCCCAAGTGATCACGGCCCGATAGTATAGCAAGGCAGACTGACAAGAATGTAGGGCCAATGATGATAAACTAGCATCCTATACTAAGCATTTAGGATTGCAGGTAAGGTATCAACAGATGTAGCGACAATGTCAGGCTATGCATCAGAATAGGATTAACGAAAGCAGTAACATGCTACACTACTCTAATGCAAGCAGTATAGAGGAGAATAGGCGATATCTGGTGATCAAGGGGGGGGCTTGCCTGGTTGCTCTGGCCAGAGAGAGGGTCGTCAACTCCGTAGTCGAACTGGGCAGCAGCAGCGTCGGTCTCGTAGTCTACCGGAGAGAAGAGGGGGAAGAAACAATGAATACCATGCAAACAAATGCATATCGATGCATGACATGACAAGTAACGATGCTAGGTGTGCCCAATCGCGGTAGTAGGTGATACCGACAAAAGGGGGAAACATCCGGGAAAGTATTCCCGGTGTTTCGCGTTTTCGGACTGATGAACCGGAGGGGAAAAGTTGCGAGTTCGATAGGTTAGGGGTGTGTGGCGGACGAACGGACTGCGTATCCGGAATCGTCTCGTCGTTCTGAGCAACTTTCATGTAGAAAGTATTTTAATCCGAGTTACGGATTAAAAGATATGATTTTCTAAAGATTATATTAATTTCCGGAATTTAATTAATTAATTAATTAATTCGAAAATGGATTTATGACGTCAGCATGATGTCATGCTGACGTCAGCAGTCAGCGTTGACCGTTGACCTGGTCAACCTGTCATGTGGGTCCCGTGGGTCCCACCTGTCATACACTGTTAGGTTTATTTAGGGTTTAGATTAATCCTAATTATAGTTTAATTAAAATTAACTAGTTAATTCAATTAATTAAACCGAATTAATTAACTTAATTAATTACTTAATTAATTAATTAATTAATTAATAATTTTATTAAATCATTTTTATTTCTATTAATTATATTTATTTTATTATATTATATATATATTATTTTTTTTATTCCTTCTTCTTTTCTTTTTTTTTAAAAAAGAAAAACGTTTTGGGGCGGGGCCCTGTGGTCAGTGGCCCGGGGGGGGGCTTGCGGTTCGGGCGCGCCCGACTGGGCATTCGCCCAAATCGGCGGGCGAGGAGGGAAAAGGGCCGGCCAGCTCCGGCGAGCGGCG